CATAAGCTGGCCAAACTTGGCCTCCAAAGCAGTCCTCAACTGGTGCTCCAGCGAAGGGCTTTGACAGTGGTCCGGGTTCAGGGTTTAGAGTTTAGGGTTTAGGGTTTAGGTGTTAGGATGTAGACTGAAAGTTTTTCTTACACAGACCATAGCGCCAAATTGAACCAAACGGTATGTTTTTCCATCGCTGTTGGGGTCTGTTGCTGAGATAATGTATAATTATATGTTAAACCAAAAAAAGGAACTACAATGGAGACTACAGGTAGTGGCTTCGCACGTCGGGTCTCGTGGCTCCGAGCTTTCGGCGCGCAGGTCCTGCCTCCCACAGCGCTTTCATGTCAGAGTCGAAGGATCCTTCTCGCGTCAGCATCACATCCTGAGCTTTGGGTTTAGGGTTTAGGGGTTTAGGGTTCCCTAACCCCCCAGTAGTACCTACTATATAGGGTACTCGAGCCCCTGGGGCCCTATGTAGCAGGTACCTGGGGGATTAGGGTTTCTTCGTAACTTCGCTTCACTTCTGCTCCCTTTTTTGGGTGCATCGCGGATCTACCCGGCGCACTGGGGCTCTTCGGGTTTTGGGTCGCAGAGGTTGGGAGGAGGCGTCGTGACGGAGCTCCGAAAAGCTGAGAGGAATGGTTTGCGTTGCTGCGAAAGGTGAGATCTGACGAGCGAGACAACTAGATCAGCGGATGCATAGATGGAGCAATCGTCGGGAGATGTAGAAGCCGAGACAGGCATGGATTCAGCTGACAAACCAGTCACAGATTGTCAACAGACTGTTGTTCGGCGGATGCACACTCAGCCATGCGAGCAGGTACCGGTAGCTGGGCGGCTGCTTAGCACCTGCTTGTGGGCAAACTTAGTTTTCACGAGATATCAGAGACATCAACAGGGATGGAACAAGAAAGCGGGAGAGAGATAGAGACAAAGAGATATGCCTGCACCTATGTAGCATTTGAAAGGCACAGCCAGCAAACATCAACATAATACCTGCTTGTGCATGTTGAGCTCCGTTTATGTAGTGAAGTTTCAGCTTTCTTGGCACTCGTGCAAACATGTACAAGCCTAGTCCTGCTTCTAGATCTTCGCGTTCTGGACTGGTTTTCGAACGAAACAGGAGAGATGTTGCAGACCCTCACTTGTGTAGAAAGTCAAGGGAGAGATCCATGAAAGCAATCCACAACAATCAGCGCTTCTACCAGCATGCCCTGTCACCTCTAAGCCTGAGCTGGAACCGCTCGTTCTTGGGACGTGGACGAGGGGATGCTTTCAGATGGGCCCATGTCTTTCAGTGATCTGACATTGGTGATGACTGATGGTGTTGTTGAGGGCGGGGATGACTTTGACACTCACGGTGCTGCTTGAAAAGCAGATGTTGTTGAAGCCTGTGGTGCTCATGATGAGCATGATGATGATTTCGATAGTTTTGCCGATGCTGGTGCTGCTGGTAGTGCTCATGGTCTGAAAAGGATGTGGGCAGTGAGAAAAGTGCAACAGCGACTCAAGTCAGTAAGGCCCAGACGTTCAGTCTCCGCATGATACGATCCTCGATATTGAAGGTCTGGCACAGCGCCTCGACCTCACTGCGCATGGAAGAAGGCTCTTGGCTTGATGGTGCCGGTTTAGGGTTAGGGCTTGGGGTTTAGGGCTTAGGGTTTAACCCCCAAACCCTAATCTCAAAGTAGGGACCGGTTTGAAAGTTGCTTTACTTTCGCTGTATCTCTGGCTGCCTCTCGGGAGGCAACCCTGAAGACCTAACAAAAAAAAACGAAGGGCATCTCTGCCCTCGAACTCGAGCACGCCCGAAAAGACCAGTCTGGAATAACGGACGGTAAGATGCTCTGCGTAACCGAAGGCTGAGAATGCTACTAAAGGTTCAGGGTTATAGGGCCTTGGAATCCACACAGTATGTGCAGACCTACATTTACCGAAAGCAGAACCGCCAGGCTAAACCAGAATCAAGTGCAGTACTTCTTCTACTCCTCTGCTCATGGGGTGTGCCGTACACCATGGGGAAGCGCAAGACTTGGTCCAGTGTGCTCTACATTAGAAGAGCTTTACCCGCAACATATGACAGATATTAAGTAAGGGTTGAACAGGTCCAGCTAAGCGCATGACATGGTGCTCGCTTCGCGCTCCGGGGGGGGGGGGGCTTTCGGGTCCCAGAGTCTATTTACACTCGCACAACTCGGTCAACGCAAGTGAGGATCTTGACCCTACACGAACTACGGGCTGTGTGTCAGAAAGACACGAAAGCGTGCCTGCGGATCGATGGGCATCTGACCTGAGCCATGCAGGATGGTCAGTTTTAGAGATACCATCGGTGATGCCGTGGCTTCGTCGTCGCCCAGGAGAAGACTGATGTGGAGCGCAAAGCCGAAGAAGAGTAGACTACGTTCCTGAAATTTATCATGCCAGACACCTCGAGGGACTGACACCAGGAAATTGCAACCGAGAAACAGTGCTCTGCATTCGGAGCGAGCTTTCCTTTGCCTCTGCCCTTCCGCTTCTCCTTGGGCTGAAGACCTTTGATCCGGAGTCTGCCTTCTCTCACGTACGTTCTTGGGGTGTTGGTTAGTGGAGGCGAGAGCTAAAGAAACGCCTATCAATTGAATATATAACGCCACTTTGCTGCAAGTCGTAGCCTTCCGTGTTCGAACAGCATGCATCAAGGTTTCGTACGAGGCAGACGGGATCGAGCAGCTTCATAACTCCATACCTTGAACTTGAATTCGCGCCCTCCAGTCTACTCGCCGAGGGACTCTCCACCAAGCCCTCGTTCAGAGGTTCCTGCGTAAATGGCGGCTGTGTTGGCCAAGCAATGCAACAAGGACCAGTGGGCCAAGATAGCATACGGAACTTCATGGTTGGGGACGAAGGTGAGGGTCTGTTGTTAAATCCGAAAATCCAAAGAAAGCCTCATGACCCCGTGGCCTCCGCTACAGCAGCCATCTGGGGGCAAGCCATTTGTCCCATCCTGGGCAAAGCTGCCACAAAGCGAGGCCCTCATGTCCAAAGACGCTTCATGTGGCGACAGTTTGGTTCAGCTTTCCATGCCTCATGACGTGACGCGTTGATGGCATCTTGCAAGGTCTGTTTCCTGCAGACACTGACACCCCAGTCATAAGTTGCACGTGGCTTTTGAATTCTAGATCTCGTTTAGAACTTCGAAGCTCACTGTCTATTTCTGTTCTTCCTATTCCAACGCGTGGTAGCATCTGCTGTTTGTAGTTTCGCGGTTAGCCAATGACATCTGCTCGCTACTCCCTGACCACGTGTGCATGTCGTACGGCCGCCTTGCAAAATATGGCTGTGTAGCGTAAGCATGTATAGAAGCATGCCCCATGTATGGCTTCATACGTGAGTTTGGACTCAGACTTATGTCCAGGAGAGTCGCGCAGAGTCATAAACATGCACGCGCACACACACACACACACACACATATATATATATATAGATATATTTAGTTATTTATTTATAGATACAGACATATACATCTACATATGTATATATATATATATATTTATATAATATACACGGACTCTCTCTCTCTCTCTCTCTCTCTCTCTCTCTCTCTCTCTCTCTCTCTAGATATACATATATATATATGGACGCATCGATATTTTAGTTCCGATGAAGGACCACTGAATACCCCCCCCCCACCATGGGCCCCTGGCGCCCTCTTGCGTGCTTCTTGCGAGCACAGTAGCAGCAGTCGTCGTCGTAGTAGCAGTAGTAATCGTCGTAGTAGTCGTCGTAATAGTAGTAGAATAGTAGAAGTCGCCCTAGTGGTAGAGGTAGTGGTAGCAGTGGTAGCTGGTAGTAGTAGTAGTAGTAG